ACCCTAGTTAAAAAAAAACCACCTCTCAACAAATAAAAGAGATCCACAAAACGACAACCGAATTCGCGTATTTAATCAGTTAGAAGCCTTTGAAGAGAAAGTAAGGGAGCCGCTTTGCATTTCGGAGAAGGCGGCGAAGAAAAAAGAAGAGAGAGATAGGAGAGAGCTGACACGGTGTCGTTAAACAAATGGCTGTGTCCTCGTGTTCGTGTCCTACTAGGGTTTTTAATGCTTATTCTTCATTTGAGTGCCGTTCCGATCCCGACTTCTCCTGTGCACCGATCGGGGACAAGCCTCGTCTCGGGTCAACCCGACTAGTGGCGGCGTCGTCGTTTGTCACCGGAGGAGGGATCACCAGCGGGAGTATATCTTCTCTGATCTTTCGTTTCCCCCCGAACTTCGTGCGCCAGCTCAGCATCAAGGCTCGCCGCAACTGTAGCAACATCGGTGTCGCACAAATTGTCGCTGCTTCGTGGTCGAACGATCCCGCTTCGGGTTCCCCCTCCTCGGCGGCTGCTGCTGCTGCAGCTCAGGCAGCAGCCGCCGCCGCCGCCTCTGCCGTCCCCGCCGCTGGCGACCTGGCTGTTGTTGGAGGTTGTTTTGACAATGGTAGTGTACAGATTGGGGGTTCAGATAACTCCAAGACATCGTTTTTGAGCTCCGATGGGAGCATCACTGTTCATGCTGGTAAATAAATTAATCATTTTTCATTTTTAATTTCATTGAAATATATATATTTATTTCTTTATGTTTTCTTTTTAAAATGTTTTGATTTTGAATGGTAAAGAAAGGATAGCGCTATTTGTGGTGTATGTTGATTCATATTTTGAAGATAATTATAGTAATTTAATAATTATATTTTTGGATAATTAGATGTTAATTTATTATTAAAGATTCGTTTTTATCTATATTTAACTATTAATTCGTAATTATTTATAATTTCCTTAAATCACGATGTTTTCCATCATTAAATCATTACATATGTGTTGAAAATTTAAGTATTCAAATTCCAACACCTGCAAACCCTTTTCTTATTCTTAGCATGCGGCCTCTTTTGTAAAAAAAAAAAAAAAAGCCTTTCATTATTTTTTTAATAATTAAAACTACGGAGTTTTATTTTTGTTTTTTGAATTTTTTATGCAGGTGAAAGATTAGGTCGCGGTATAGTTACTGATGCAATTACTACTCCAGTGGTTAATACCTCTGCTTACTTCTTTAAGAAAACTCAGGAGCTTATCGACTTCAAGGTATAATAATAATAATAATAATAGATCAGTTTTTGTAATAGTTAATGTTTGCATTGATCTATTAGGGTACTTTTTAAGTTTTCTATTTAAATAAATATATTGGTTCACTATATGTTTAAGTCTCTGTTGTCACAGTCAATGACTATATGTTAGCGAATGCCAAAATATAATGCAAATGATGTCTTTGGCTTATTCCATAATCAAGTAATGAAAGATGAGTTCTTAAAAACACTTGATTGTTGACCCAGAATTTGTATTGCATTAACATAATAACATTTTATGTGATCTTGTTGCAGGAGAAACGCCATAAAAGTTTTGAATATGGGCGGTATGGAAATCCAACAACAGTGGTTGCGGAGGAGAAGATAAGGTTTGGACGCCTCTCTCTTTTTGTTAACTTAAATGACATTTGCTTGTGTCAGCAATCTATGTCTTTGAAACATTCATGAGGTGAGCTTTCTTTGTTTCAGTGCACTAGAGGGGGCTGAATCTACCCTGATTATGGCATCTGGAATGTGTGCTAGCACAGTCATGCTAATGGCATTGGTCCCTGCTGGTGGACATATTGTGACAACAACAGATTGCTATCGAAAAACTAGGATATTCATTGAGACCATTCTGCCTAAAATGGGAATCTCGGTATGGCTTCCAATTTGTTTGTGTTACTCTTTTGTTTCATTTCATTGTTTTTTAAGAATCTTGGCAAATGAAATGCCCAAATGCCCAGGTTTTTGTATCATTATTCTTTTGTAAAGGACAATGATGTTGAAATAGTTTCTGACCAAAATAATGATGCACCTAAGCTGCCCCCATTTCTTTATTGGGTTTCTTTGTTATATATGAGAATTGTAATTGCAATAAGAACCTAAGCTGTTTGTGGCAAATTTTATGCTTGACTTGCTTAAATATTTATATCTCTATGGAGTAGCATATTGCATGTTGGTTCATTTATCATTGAGTTCTGGTTATTATTCAATATGCAGGCTACTGTTATTGACCCTGCTGATGTGGATGGCCTGGAGGCTGTGCTCAACAAGAACAAAGTCGGTAGCATATAAAGTGGTTCCCTTGTGCTTGATTTATCCTTTTATGTTTACTTTGGAAATGACAGTTCATACTGAGTTGAGAGTGAATTATGATTCGTGCAGGTTTCTCTTTTCTTTACCGAGTCTCCGACAAATCCATTCCTCAGATGTGTTGACATAGAAAAAGTTTCAAAGCTGTGTCATAGCAAAGGAGCACTTGTCTGCATTGATGGTACCTTTGCTACACCTCTTAATCAGAAGGCCCTGGCCCTTGGTGCTGATCTTGTTTTGCACTCTGCAACAAAGTTCATTGGGGGCCACAATGATGTAAGCACTTGCTCTTGTTAGTTTAGTCAGTTTGCAAGGAGTTCTCCACTCATGGTGTCAACTATAGTTAATTCAATCAATAAACAAGTGTAATTCCTCATGTTGCAGGTTCTTGCTGGTTGCATAAGTGGTTCTGAGAAGTTGGTTACTGAAATTCGTACTTTGCATCATATTTTGGGTGGTACTCTCAACCCAGTGAGTTATCCTAACTCCTGATTCTTGATTTAGTAGTTTCATGGCGTCTTTCATGTTTTTGTCAAACTGTATATACTTTTTTTTCAGTCTTAAGTAGATTTGTTTGTTGCTTGTACTCAGTTAAAAGGACTAGATTATTAAGGTGGTAGGTCGGACATCTAGTCTAAGAAGAATATGTTGTGTTGTTACAAGAATGATGTTTTAATGGCTTTAATCTTATTCTTTGAAGATTCGTGCCTAATGCTACTCCATTGTAAGTTGCACGGGTCACTAAATAATATGTTTGTTTCTATGTTTAAACAGAATGCCGCGTATCTAATCATCAGAGGCATGAAGACACTGCATCTTCGTGTACGGCAACAGAATTCAACAGCATTTAGAATGGCCGAAGTTTTAGAAGCACATCCTAGGGTATGATTGCAGTGATTTTCCCTTTTTCATTCTTGTTTATCTATATTCCATAGTACAACTCAATTTAGGAGCTGAAAATGGCAAAACAATAAGGCTGGGAATAACTGAAGTCAGTTTTAAAAGAAAGTGAAGGATACTGTGTGCATGTGATCAAAGTTGGTTGCTGTTGGATTTTAGTGTCTCAATGAACAAGTCCTTTATTTTGTTGTTTCGAACATTTTATGCCATTCCTATGCATGTTTGAACTCCTGGAGAGGATTTGGTTTACTTTCAATAGATGTGATAGTGCCATTACATCTGGTTCCCACTGGGAATATTTCCTCAACCATTGGTAAGCATATGTTGTATTTGCATGACATTACTGGTTGAATGACCTTCATCTAGCATTTGATGTCATTTTATTTTGAAACTACTCTGAGTTTATTTGATTTATCATATTTTACTTTTTCTAATTTGGATTTATTTTCCTTATTTCTTGGCTTTATTAAATATCAATGGTAGGTGAGATGCGTCTATTATCCAGGCTTGCCTAGTCATCCTGAACATGAACTTGCGAAGCAGCAAATGACTGGCTTTGGTGGTGTGGTCAGTTTTGAGGTTGGTATTCTTCAACTGCTTTAACCTCATAACTGGAAATTCATCTTTGATCACTGTTGCTTTAATTTGGTGTTATTCAAGCAAAAATTGTTCAAAGTTCATGTCTTCTAAATCATTCAGGTGGATGGAGATTTGATGACCACCATCAAATTTGTTGATGCATTGAAAATACCTTACATTGCTCCATCCTTTGGTGGCTGTGAGAGCATTGTGGATCAGCCAGCTATAATGTCCTATTGGTATGGCATTATTTCTGTTTATATATTGGACCATTCTGCTTGCGATTATCTCTCTAGGCAACAGCTTAAACTGTTGATGAACTGAGATTGAGAACCTATATATTTAATGCATTTTAAGCTTTACTACTTTTATAATTTTAGTAGACATATTGATATCAACTAATGTTATTAAATAGGATTGTAAGTATTTGATAGAGACATTGCTCCCAACATAGATCAAAATCATTATTGTAGTTCTTTTAGATGATATATGTCCTTGTTTGGGGGTCGTTGTAAAACTTCATTAATCATTTTGTGCATTGCGGGACAGGGATCTTAGCCAAGCTGAGAGGCGTAAGTATGGAATTGAGGATAACTTGGTTCGATTCAGCTTCGGAGTTGAAGACTTAGAAGATTTGAAGGCTGATATAATGCAGGCCCTGGAGACCATATAATGGCGCACATTGCCTGTGCTTTTTCTTTTTGGTTTCCTCTCTTTGTTGGAAACCTAGTTATTTTGGTATTTCAATTTGGCATTGATCTCCAAAGTTTTCTCATCTGTTTCATTTTGGCAGATCATTGCTTCAATGACTGAAGTAATGATCTATGAACAATTTGGAACTTTATTTGTAATGCTTTTTTCTGAATGCAATTCCGGTTCTGATTTTCAGTTTTATGAATGTTTATGAACGGATTAAGCAATCATAATTGAAAAGGAAAACAGAAACAAGCTCCGTAAAGGAAATACAGTTCATCGACTTTTCCAATTTTACTTGTTCTAATGAATTACATTTATTGAAAATATGATAATATAAGTTTAAATAATAGTAATAAATATCCAAATTAGAGAAGAAAAAAAAAAAGAAGTTAAAAAAAATCAATGCAAAAAGCAAAAAAAAAAAAAAAGAGAAGCTTTATTAAATTTTTTAAATAATGAGATACCTAATTAAATTTTTTTAATTTAAATATCATATTAAATATTTTCATATAATTGTAAGCCACATATTACATTATCCCTTCTAATTATCCGTCCCTCGAATGATATATGGTCGGCTATCGGTATAAAATTTTCATCTAATATATGTTGTGCCACAACTCAAATGTACTTTTGCTTTTGCCTCTCACCATTTACAATAAAAAGAAATAATTAATTAATTAATCTAGAATGAAATTTTCATTGAATTTGTATAGAAAAAAAAAAAAAAGAAAAAGAAAAACCCAATCTGCCATGATTTCTACAGTGTAGCGCAGTGAATATTTATATACTCTTGTCTCCATTGTAATCATAGTAAAAAGGCAAGGGTACTGATTTGAATGCCCTGAACTTGCCCACATTGTTCAAATGCTCATTCTCCAACCTGATCAATTTCAAAATCAAGATATGCTTCAGATCCATGTGGACTATTGACTTGGCAGGTCTCATATGAAAATAATAATAATAAAAAAAAGCATTTAAACCAATGTTCAACAGACAAAATGCTGATAAAATGTCAAGCTAAATATTGCACATGATTGCATCAATGGCAGATGGGAAAAAAAGGTTTGATGGTAAGCAATGTTTAGGTATAGCAGTCCAAGAAAACTTTTTTATAAAGGAAGTCATAGCAGTGATTTAAGCTATACTCTGTTATAAAAAAATAAATTACAGGTGTTAAAATTTAAATTTTAAATCTATCCAATATTATCTTTTAAAAATGATTATATAAATCAAGTTAAATCTCAAATTTTACCTAAATTTTGCACTTGAAAGTAATCCTCAAGTAAAATGTTTTACTTGGTTTTTGGGCAACTTCCAAAAATATTTTACCTTGATTCTAAGGTTAAACATAAATTCCCACCAGATCAAGAATCAGTAATGACTGCAATGAACACTTGATTTCTTGATAATCTAGCTATCCTACAACCAGTCTTTATCGCTTTCATGGTCTCGGCAATGAGAAAATTTGTTAGGTTACCCACCGGTGACTTTAATGTTTTTTTCTTTTGCCATAGAATATAGTGAGAGAGAACTGAGAACTAACTACAATAGTTTAAAAATACCTGAAGAAATTCCAAATGCCACGGCGAATGATCTCCAAGCAAGCAACTACCGCAATCAAGGCTGTCCTATGCAGGAAAGGTACAGTTTGAATACCTAACACTTGCTGCATCCAAGCAAGTCTTAATAGACAGTTCAATGCCTGCAATTGTTAGGAAGTTACTGCACAAATCAAGGAAGGTCAATTCCTTAAAAATGTTGACACCCCAACAACTCCCATCACCACCCAAAAGGAAAAGGGAAGACGTGGAAAACAATAGACTTAGTAGCGATGACACGATACAAAAACGATTTAGAAAAAGATAAAAGTGACACGATTTAAAATTTTAATAAAAATTATATATGAGTTTAACAACAACAAAAAATGTATTTCGTGATTTCCGTATGACAAAAATGGTGATATGCATTTTTTGTGCAAGAAATAATATGAATATACGAATTGTCAATATTTTACACAACACAAACATGTGAATTGTCAAATCTAGATAATAGGAGAAATTATTAGAATGACTTCTTACCATGGCTACATAATAAACTCCTTTATGTGGTAGAATAAGCTTATCTCTCAGCCAAGGGTTTCTTGAATTTCTTCTAAGAAGACCCCAATCTATGACAATGTCCCAATATGTATTAGCTATTGTTGCAATACCAGAAGTTGCTGCAGCCAAGACCAGCCAAGTAGTAGTTTTCTGCTTTTGGAATTGATAAATAGTCCTAATGGCCACTGCAGCAATTGTTGAGAAGTATTTCAGACCATTAAGACCATGTGCTGCGTCTTTCTCCTCGAACAACCTTCTAAGGCACTATAAGAATATAAATGATAACATTAAAAAGCATTAAAGAAAATCCAGAATGAAATTGGCATGCAACTGGAGATAGTGAAATGATGAAAATACAGTTTCATTGCTGCATTGTCACAAATTACCTGAATGAAACGGAGCCAATAAGGAATAATGGCTACAACTATGTAAAACACTTTATAAACTTCACTCTCCTCACACTTGTTCAATCTCTCTCGGAAGTTTCCCCAACCATAGTAGCAAATGTAGAACTCCAAGCTTCTAACTGCTTGAACCTGGAATGAAATGTCAATGGATATTGATTAGAAAACAAACCAGGTTGAAGTTGCAATGGTATTTATAGATTGTTGGCCTGAATATCGAACCTGGCTTGTGAGTTGATCTGCCAAGAAGAAATCGGGGAGGGTGACCTACATGGTGAAAAATGAAGAAGAATTATCTTTCTTATTACATGACTTTACTCATATATCATTGAACATAAATTTACTATTTTTTTGGTCTTGGTACCTTGTAAAGAGGTGCACAAACACAGTGAAACGCACATCTGATAAGAAAGAATCGACTTGAACGATATATGATATTGAAAGGGCAGAATGTTATTGAAAGCACAACCTGCAATATAGGTACTTCGGTGAGCATATCAGGCAAATGTTTTGTCAATCAGAAGTTCATCTTGAAATAGCATTTCAATAAGAAAATTATAGTAGAGAAACTACAGAAAAGATGTGTTCTATATAGGACTTACAATGAGCAGGAACAAGGGGATTAGTTCAGTTGAAGTTCTGAAGCTTTTTGTTCTTGGCTCAATCTCCATATCCAAATGTGAAATGACACCAGCTAATGCAATCAGAGAAAGACCAGAACTAAGAAGAAGTACTTCTCTATATCCCAACTCTGTTCCTTGCTTGAAACCAAATATAAATGAAAAGTTTACTCGATAACGCTTCCAAAAGAATATATTTCCAGAGTACATAAGCATGTGCAAGACGATGTAACCAAACAGGCTGCAAAAAGTTGAAGAATCATTAATATAACCATTGAATTCACTAGGATTCCTTGAAAGAATGTTGAAGAAATATACATTTGAGTGACTTTACCTGTAAAGTGGAAATATGTTGACCATGTACTGATCACGTCCCTGACTCCTAAGAAGATCTCTAGCATGTATATTCACAATAATGGCCACTATAAGTGCAATCGAGCAGCCTGAAAAGAAGCCTGCAAGTGAAGAGAAAACTTCAGTTAAAAACAAAGAACTGGAATGTAGACTCAACAGCTCCAAGAAAACTTTTTTCTTCAGACAAAGAAATGAATCAAACCAAGTAGGAAATAGGACACTGTAATTTTTCAGAATGGTTTTACAGTAACCTCAAAACTCTACCACAATACAAAGAATTTGTTATAAAAGATGCATTGAAATGACACACAGTCATTACCATTGAGAAATGTAATTCTATGTCTTTCTTTTTTAGTTTGTGGTCTTAGAGTTTTCATTCCTTTTCTGTGATTTCCATTAGCAAAGTGTTTAACATAGGTGTTCTCAACCCTTTCCATAAGCTTAGTAACCTGTCATGACAAAAGAGGGAAAGGAAGAGCAAAGTTAGTGACAACTGAAAAAGGGGAATTCATTCAACTGACATAAAACACAGTTCTATTAACAGTTTCTAACCTCATCAGAGCTGCCAAGATAAGATTTGTCCACCATTTGTAAGTAAGCTTTTGATGCATTTCGCGATGTGGTCTGCATGATTGTAAATGAGTAGACATGAAACAAGAACATTTTGATTTTAATTGATTACGACACAGATAGTGAAAAGGACAGACCTTGTCATATTTCTTCATGATCTTGGAAAATGCTAATTGATTCAGGAAGCTGACAAATCAAATACAGATATGATTAATTATAAAGCCAAAAAAGAATTTCATTCTTTTTTAGGTCAAAAGGAAAAGAAGGAAGCCATGTTAATTACCAGTAGCTTTTCAAAAGTCCAAGCTTTCTGTGGAATTCAACAAAAGCCTTAGTAATTTTTTCCTCTGCTGTCTTCAGCTCCTGCCTGCTGAATGACAAGTCTGATTTTGAACTTTTTATGACACCTTTGAGTGTTGATATTGGAGTTTCAAGCTCAACATTGATCTTTACATGATCCAAGACATCTAATGAAGCTGGTCTAAAGCGCTGAATATTATTAGCTTCCCCTCCATTTAGTGCCTCTCTATTATTACCTTCCATCATTTCTTCTTCAGATATTCCTTCAGTGCTCATCTCAACTTCTTGGATAACATCCATCCTTGTCCATCCTACACATAAAAAATACCCCAAAATTGAGAATTTCAGATCATATCAGAAGAAAAAACATTTATTTAAAGGAAAATGGATTTGTTCAATGTATCAGAATCCAGATCTTCCTTACCTTGCCTTCCACCATTGGTGGGATGAACAACCGATGAATGATTGGAAGAAAACCCATTTGCAGAAAGATTTAACATATCAGTTCTTCCTCCAAGAACCGGATTATCAACCTTAATCCTAAGAGCAATTAAGGCATTCATTTGCTTACTCAACTCATCAGCCTCCACCATTACTTCTTCAACTTTCTTCTTGTAAAACCTAACAACCTTATTAAACTCATCATCAAGTCTCCTAAAGAAAACTAGCTCATACTCACCTCCTTGTTCACCTGGCATAAGAAACATGGTCTGGTAATCCCCTTCTACTCCACCTTCTTGTACTGCACTTACTAGTATCACTTCATCTTCATTGTTCTTCCTTGGAGAACCCGATCTATAGCGGCTTGTTAATCCACTAAATGCTCTGTAAAGTGATGCCCTTCTCTTCAATGATCCTTTGGTTATTTCTGCCATTGGTGCTGGTGCCTTGGTCTGTTGCTTGAATCTTAATATATCTTTCAATATTGATTTGAGTTTACTGTAATCCATGTATGCTTCCTGCCATTCCTGCACCATTTGTGCAGCAAACTCTTTCCCGAACTTCATCTTCCTCCACCATAAACAAACTCAAGAAAAACCCAAAAAAATGAAAAAAAAAATTGAGAATTAGATGAGTTTTGAGTCTTGACTTATATATAGGAAATCCAGTTTCCAAGCTATGAACTATCTTCTTTCTTACTTGCTTCCTTTATCAATGGCGTGATGACCATTTCTCCTGCATAATTTCAAATAGTAGAATAATATTATTGATGAATGAAATTAAAAATGACATCAAAGACCCAATTTATTTTTTGATCAATCTTGTTCCTGCCTTTTTTTATTATTATTAACTTCCATTTTTAATTGTAAATTTTTTGGTAAAAAAAATCAATCAAGCACGTTGCCTTTAGTCACGGCTGTCTAGTAAATTCTTTCTTTTTTTTTTCTCTTGGACAATGAAAAAAAATATCTGTGGCCTAACTTTCGCTACAGAAGTAACTTTTTTTTTTTGGAGGGGGTACGGAAACAAAAATGAAGAATTATTTTTCAATGCTTTTTTTTGGAAGTGAAAAGTTCTTTAAATCTTTTTCAATCAAAATCATAAAATCAAGGAAAACAGCTAGACACGTGTTTGAAAAAATTTACAAATTTTGATAAATTTTATTTATATTTTGATTTTTTTCTTTTTTAAATAATTATATATTCAAATTTTTTTTTTGAAATAATATGATCTAAAGTTTTAATTCAAAGTAGTGAGACTCATAATCCAAGATTTAACTTAATTTATATAATAATTTTGAAAAATTAATATTTAATATTTATAATTTTTTTATTCGTAAATTATATTTTCTTAATAAAAAAATATTGAGACCCGTTAGGAAAAGATTCAGGCAATCAGCTAATAATGGAAATAAATCAAGAAGGTTGGCATATTAATTATAAATTTATAAAATTAATACAATAAGAGCAGACAATATGAAATTTTCAATTTTTTATTTGAGGTCAAAGTTATTTAATTGGAGTGGTTAAAATTTTTTTTATTTAAAATTATTAAAATTAAAATTTAAAATTCAAAACATGTTGCAATGACTCTACTGTTATAATAATGATACTATTTTTATTAATATTTGTTAATTTGAATAGTAAAAAGTTCGATTTCTTTTAAATAAGATCTCAATTTTGAATTTTATAAATAAAAAAAATTTTATAAAATTTGTCCTCATTTATGAGATTAACCTTAGTTCGATTCTGAATTAATTAAAACCCAAAATAACTTCTAAATATAAAAAAATCTCAAATAAAAAATATACTATTATTTGTTTTGTGTTCTAAAGATATCCTCCCAAAATTTTGTTTTCCCATTATATATTAGTAATTAAAATTTAGAACATTAAATTTGAGCCTTTTATTTTAATATATTAAAAATTAATAAATTATTATTTGTCGATGATAATTAAAATTATCATAAGAAAAGTTTTAAAAATAACATTTTAACAAGTATGATATGTTAAAAATTTATTGCATATGAGGTTTAAATTGATATAAATAATATATATATGTTTGTAAAATTAATATACCAATTAGCCAACCAAAAAAGTTAACTATGAACCATAATTCTAGAACAAAAAGAAAAGGCATAGCATATAAATACTACCTCTATTATTTTATGGAATTTAAGAAAATTATCAATTTTATTAAATTTGAAACTTAATTAAATTAATTTATACAATTATTTTTAATATATGATATTTAAATGGTTTAAAATTTAAATTCTAACATTTATAATTTTTTTCATATATTTTTATTACATTCTTCTTTATATAAAAATTTTTAAATTTTATTTTTTATAAAATTGATATTCCATAATTTTTAATGCTAAAGAGAAAAAAAAAACCATGAAAAATAATTTTGTAATATAAAAAATAAAAATTTTAAAACATATAAAAAATGAAAAAAGGGAGGAATATTAGATTGTGTGGTGGCTGCAATATGTAGGCAGCCAAAGTGGGATGGGTTTGTCAGATTTGCCAAATACTTCATAAAAGCATGGAAGGGCGCCCAATGAACTGCTTGGTCTCAGCCAACTTGTTTAATTTCGTTATTATTATTATTATTATTATTATTATACGAAAAAAATTTTAAAATAAATAATTTTTTAAATTTTTTAAATTAAAATAAAATATATGATATCTAATAATTTAAAATAAGTGATTATAAATTATATATTCAAAATAATTTAATAAATAATCATAGATAAATTTTGAATTTAAATTATTTTTTTTTTTTTAAATATCTTTAATAAATAATTATAGATAAAACTTAAATTTATATTATTATTATTATTATTATTGTTGGAACGTTCGTTGACAGTGATAGAAGGCGCGTTGCATCGAATTAATTTGTTAGATTTTTCTAGATCTAAACTTTAAACATTTACGGACTAAGCACCTAACTCGTTTTGGAAAATGTTTGAACAACGCGCTTTTCTCCAAATTATTGGACTTTATTAATTCCAACATTTATGATTGGGTCTTTTCTCCATTTTGAAGGCTGTTGATCGTCATGATTTGGTCTCTTCTGCTTCAATCTTTTTCTTTTGATTTGGCCACCTTAATTTCCACCATCATTTTATAATTAATTTATTTGTTGTGGGATTTTCTTCTTACTCTACAGACATGAAGTTTTGATATATTGACTGTAAAAAGAAAAGAAAAAAATTGTTATCGAAAAATATTTAGATAAATTTTTTAAGTAAAAATTAAAATTAAAAATGATAGATGTTATACAAATCAACTGTGTAAAATTTTTTAAAACAAATAAATTTTAATATATTTTTTAGATAAATAGTTTTAGTAAAAAAAATTTTTAATAGTTTTTATGATAAATAAATACCGATTAAATTTAAATTATAAATAATATATTTTTATATTTTATTATATATTATTAATTTTTATTAAACTTTATCAATTAATCGATTTAAATTTTTTATTAAAATTTTTATTAACTCATTTTTAATTAAAAAAATTTTACCAAATTTACTTAAAGCTTTTCATCAAGTTCTAAATGTCACTGAGTCACCTTAATTTAAACAATTCAATCAATCCAACGTTAAGTCATAATCTTGTAGACCCTTTAAGAATACTATATATTGTATAAATTTCAATGTCAGCCGCCTATATATTGTTCAATATGATCAAGTTGCAAATCTGCTGAAAATTTCTGCTTATTGAACAATATAATAATAGGATCATCAACTAATAATAATAAAAAAATTGATGGATTATGACTTAGTGCATGATGCTTATGATTTTCCTTAAATTTGTTTTACTTGTACGGTTTTGACATTAGATTCTTGAGTCCACCCCCATATCTCTTGTTTGAAATCTGAGTTTTAGATATTGAGACTAGACTTGTTCAGATAACAAGGATATCAGCTGCAGAAAGATGGCGTTTGTCCTTATCACTGGATTCTGTACACACAATGTTATCTTTCTAGGATCCTTCTATAACCCGTTTTAATGGTGGAAAAAAAATTTTGAGGAAGTAGCTTTATACTAATATCTATGTTCTTTTGGTTTGGAATGGATGTCTGGCGTTGTACATCAATCCATATGATCAAATTCATATGAACAATTCATGATTGATTCTGAAGAACAATAACCTTTGATATATGGGTGATGAAGGAATATGGTATAAAGGAATCTTTGATTGTTATTTACTATTGCACCTTTTGTGGTTGATGTGTCTAGCCTTGTTAATTTTTATGTTTTATACGTATTTAACATAAAATAGATACAAAATAGATATACAAATTGTTAAATTTAAATCCGGTTTTGAATTGTTAGATCAATTCTCAAAGTATTATTAAAGCTTGTTTGGTCAATGTCTCTTGAATTAATACCTGATGAGTGGTGAGTTTATCAATTAGATTTTCCTGTCTAGACTACTTGCAATATCATATTCCATCAACCATGGAAACATCCACAAGTTGCAGTATTCCAATGTCCCCATGCATTTTTGCTGTATAATTGATTTTGGGTAACTCTTACTTTGTACAATAGTAAGGTAATACCATACATTTTTAGCGATAATTTTGAAGAGTTTACCCTGTTTTTGCAAGCTCCATTTGGGAATCCGATTAGAGGATTTAGGTTCCAATCATAAAATGGATATATTGGTGCGGTGGGAGCTAGCCCTCCAATCCAGCTCCCAAATGAAATTGCAGTCAATGGAAACGAAATCTTGATTGATGCATGGGTGGAAGCTGAAATTGAAACAACTCAATTTTCTCTGTAAAATAACTCTAGAGCATGATAATTGTAGCTTTGGTCCACGGTTGTCGGTTCTGAAGCAGCGTGTAATAAATTAGTATATATGGGATGATTGGAACCAGTCCATGCATGATCTTTGCTCTTCTTTTTATCTCCAATTTGTTTCAATGTTAATCAAACTTTCGAGTGCAACTATCTGAAAGATAAACATTTGAATTCAAACTTAATCTAGTTAATTTTTGCAGTTATTTTTAAATCTCAATATTTACGATATTTTCTTTTTACTTTAGCCTGCATGCAAGCATTTTGTAGAGATTTGCCAATTTCATAATCAGATCATCTGTCTCTTTAGGGTTTTCAAAAAGTAATATACCCTAGATATAAGTTCAACAGCTCAATATAACTTACCGGTTGATATTACCCCTTGTTTTAAAGGGATATAAAATCATCCCTGTCTTCGGACGCAACCAAATGTGCCAACAAAAAAGAACTGATACGAATCGGAATAAAGTCGCTACGCTTTCAGGAAGTAATAGTGTCGTCATAACTTTGGTACAATTACTCATGATGTTGTAATATATATGGTCCAGTTCTCATTCAAGTCGCCAGCCATTTCTCCAACTCTATAAATGCTGCACTCCCAAACATCTGAACCATCAAACCAACCTTTTCTTTTCTGTCTGTTTTATTGTACCTATGAAAAATACGAGGCAGCATAGAGTGTATATATATAACAACAGCAAGAAACAAGGCTTTGAGATACAAACATTGTTGATGAAATATGTGTTTATCAAGATTGAGTTTGTATTTCAAAGCCTTGGTTTTGTTGCTGCTGTTGTTTTGGAGTTGGGGTCTTTCCCCTTGTAGGTTTATTGAAGTAAATGTTATAGTTGAAGTTGTTGCTGTCATGCAAGTAGTTTAAACAAACTAAGGATTATTATTTCATATACTTCTAGTGGTATTTTTAAAATAGTAGATGCTGTTGCTGTCATGCAAGTAATTTAAAGGTAACCCTCTAATTTTGTAAAACTTAACTTGCTTTATTAATTTGGTTTTTTATTATGTTTATTTTTTTTGGTAAAAAAGACACCAATCTTTTTTTTTTTACAAAAAAAAAAAAATCGCAACTTGAGAATAGAAGAAGATAATGTAAATACCAAGATTTAAACTTCAAAAATATTAAATATCTCTTCTTAAAAGTAATTATATAAATTAATTTAACTAAGTTTAAAACTCATTTTATTATGTTTATCATGTACTCATCCTTTACCAAGAATGTATTTCTTCCTTAATCATATGATAGTTTCAAAATTGGTCACATGATTGAGGCCTAAGAATTTCACAACAACACATAGAACATATTTTTTATACTATTTATATTTTTTTAATCAAATATTCATAATATTTCATAATCTATTGACATAGATCATTCACATTAAAATTTGAGTTAAGTAAAAGTGCCTAACTATTTTTTCATATAAAAAGTTTTCAGTAAGTAAAGATATACTAAGTTGATAATATTATCAATCAATATGATAAAAATATTGAATTGATTTGAAACTTTACAGGCATAATAAGTATGATTATTTTATTAAATTCAACTATTAATTTATTAAAGTGTTTAATGTAAATATGGTTATAACACCGATGAAACTTGATCCCTTGTTGATAAATATATTTATAATTTTATCATATGTTTTAGTATAAGAGATATCGTAATCTGTGAATAAATAAAGAAATTACACATATTAAAATTTAAATTTAAGACATAATGAAATTTTTTTTTTTTTTACAAAAAAGTCACAATCTGAGAACAAAAATATGATTGCAAGTTTAAAATTTAATATTTTTAAACCTACTAAAAACTAATTTTTAAGAAAATTATATCAACTAATTAGATTAAGCTTCAACTTAATAAGATATAAGTTAAAACTATCATCCCATAGATATAATCTTCCAATTAATGGTATTTTAAGCTGGATTGGAGCTATGAAATTAGCCTGTTTGTTAAAAAAAAAAAAAAAAGGCATTGCTAGTTTATTTCAACTGTAAAATACTTTATTTATTTGACATTGTAAATAGTGATCAAAGCATGAAAAATCAAAATGAGTTAAATTCTCTGTAAAAGCTTTAATTTTACTTTTTGTATACTCAAGCTCAATTCTTGTTCATTGTTTAAGTTTTTTAGTAATTCGGTTCATAAATTGAGTTAAAGCATTTTAATATGTTTTTTGAATAATTTATCAATTTAATCGAATTTTTTAAATTTTTAATAATTCCAGAAATAAACAAATAAAAACCCAAAATTTCCGAACAAAGTAGAATTACTAACATGAAATAATGATAAGTGTGTAAAAATAAAACTCAGTTCTACGGAAATTCTATGAATTATTATTATTATTATTAGTTTACATACGTGGCAGAATCTAATAGGCTGTCATAGACTCACGAATTAACATTCACTTAACGTACATCAATGCCAACATTAACAGAAACAGATCTCTTTCTCTTCCAAAGTTTCGAAGTTTCAAAACAAAAGAAAAGAAAAAAAAAAAACCTGGGATTCAATTTTCTTTGTCTAAAACAACAATGTCTGGATTAAATCTGGGTTTAGTTCGGGTAATCCTAGGATTAATGTTGGAAACAGACATTGAGGAATCAATGAGATTTGAGTTGGATTCAGGGTGCACCGAATGCATTTCAGAAGACATCAAGACAAATGCAATGACTGTTGGCAAATACACCATTGTCAATCCAAATGTAGGTTACCCTTTGCCTGATTCCCATAAACTCACCGCCAGGGTATGTCCCAAGCAATTTTCTTTTTTGAGTTTGTTGATTTTTGTTTTCATTTCTTTTGGATTTTTGGAGGTTGATTTTTGCTTGATTTTAGAAGTTGAATTTAGTTTGGAAAGTTTAAGAAATAATTTGAAGATAAATTTTCCTATGTTGGGTGAATCTATGGTGGAAGTTTTATATATGAACGACTTTGGATGGTCGGATTGGGATAATAATTTGGAATGAAAATGGGTAATTTAAAATTTCAATCGTTCTTGATTTCTTCTTAGATGCATTTCTGTTGTTGGACTTGACTTTTTTTTTCTATTTTTTAATTTTTAGTGTTCATTTATACATTTGTTTTAGGTAATTAATGGAAAAGAAAAGAAAAAGGATTAATGGACATATCATAAAATTATGAAATATAAAAAATTATGCTTTGGAATTAGCTCCCTTGCTTTTCAATTTTAGGGGATAGATTTTGGTGATAACAAGGTATTTATTTATTTTTTGTAGGTGACTTCACCTTATGGGAACGTTATCACCTTGGTGATCATGTGAATTCAGGTACTTTTGCATTTACTGCAGCTGAGGCTGGTGATTAAACTACTTGTTTTTGGGTAATGAACACAAGCCTCCTGTAAGTATTACAATTGATTTTGATTGGAAAACTGGTGTTGCTGCTAAGGATTTGCCCAAGGTTGCCAAGAAAGGACAGGTTGAAGCAAGTGGATTTACCACATCCCTTTTCATACTGTTTGTTTCGTGGTTATTACTTTGATTTTTTATTTATGAACATTATTGACTTACATTTATGTGTTTATGATAGACAATGGAACTTTAGTTAAACAACTGTATGTCACTGTCACATCCATTCGTGAAGAGATGTTTTATCTTCGTGAGAGGTATGTTCGATTTCGAGCACCAATAGGTTTTTTACATTTTTTTTGTCTTTCTTTTTGCAATCTGTGTTTTTTTTTTTCTTTTTGTGTCAGAGAGGAAGAAATGCTACAGCGTAATAGAGACAAAAATGGCTACTCTTAGTTTCTTTTCGTTCGTTGTATGCTTTTCTGTAGCTGGGCTGCAAATATGGCATCTAAAGGCATTTTTTGAACGAAGCTCAGCTCACCACTTTGGCTTTTTGGACAGTTACAGCTTCTCCATCCTGTACTCATTTTCCTATTCAGTTTGGCTTAACGAATTTATCCAGTTACGGATTGTAGCTTCCAGAATTTCACACCAAATTTTCCTATCTGCTGCACTTTGAACTTACTTTTTGTTGATTAATTTATTATTATTCTTTTAAATCAGCATGTGGGATAAAATCAACTAATACAAGAAGTTCTGAGCCAGACCAAGATAACTTGGTCATTCCCACCAAAAGTAACAAGACCGTTTAAAACAAGACAAAGTTTTGCAAAAAAAAAAAAAAGTTCAGAATTGGAACCTTTTTTTTTTTTTTAATTTTCAGAAACTATTATTACCATTTCAATCCATTAATCTTTGGATTCTAAAACAGTTTTCACACAACCTAAAGAATAATTGAAAGTAGTCAAGCTGTCTAAATTATGAAATATATCAAACGTTTTAGTGACACTATCTCCAACCCATAAACCATAAATCTCCTCTCATGTGAGAACCCTGGTTATGTCTTCCAAAAAGCACAGTAGAAAGGTCGACAGTCCAGGATTATGGCCAGAGTAATTTGTAAAGAAAAAATTTCCAAAGGCAAGCCTACGCATAGCATAGCATTACATTATCATCATCAGGTTGATATAACACGCAAGCACATCATGGCATATATTATCATCATCAAGCTTGAAAATAAGCAAGCACAAGTGCGCAACCACTCTAACCCAAATATTTGGGGATTTTATTCACACACACACACATACACGAAGCACTCAGAAACGATAGTAAGTAGATACCATTAAAGGAGGCATGCCTCAACCTTTTATTTAGTAGCTATGATGGCATGAACTCCATTTACAGAGTGACCACCAGTTTGATTACTCATCATCATCATCATGGCGCCTGTGATGGTGGTGCCTAAAGCGGTGATGCTTCTTCTCCTCATCATCATCATCAGGGTTGTCATCCCCCTACAATTTTAATTTTGATTGATCAAATGAATTTTGAGACAAAAAGTACATATATATATATATATAACAACATAATTGACCTAACCATTCCAACATATGATAGTATAAATCTTCTGAAACTTAAGTTACTTCCAAATCATCTAGCCATATTTACTCGTTTCATATTTCTTGACACCTAGTATAACTTCAAATTAGCAAGTCCCTAAGTTTCAATATGTAGCCATACAAACAGAAAAAAATGAACTTTTTAAAACTTCAAAATACAAGTGTTCAACACAAACAAACAAAAACTGTTCAAATTTTACTAAATAGAAATGCCTAGATGCATGTTTTGAAAAGCCCAAAATGATCCTTCATTTCGAACAGAGATGATAAAACACAAATCCAAAGAATAAAAGAAGCCATAGCAATGTGTCCCAAAGGCAATATTTATTAACATTGTTTAAAATCAAGTAAATTTAGAACACCAAACTTGCTTATTCATGATAAAATATTTCTTCAATAAAGAACTTGCTAGAAAATGCCAACCTCATAAGAAATCAATGGAATAAAATGCCTATATGATCTATAAAGCTATAGTAAACCATATAAACAGTAGTACTAGAATTGATACCTATATTGCTAACAATCACTTAGAGAAATTAAGAGTCAAGCAATCCACATGTAAAATTTCACTCCCCCTGCTTGCCACCCTCAACACGCATGATGCATATCAAAACAATTTTAACAATTTTAACTCCTCCCAACTTATGCTAATAATTCTGCAAATTCCATATATTGAAGCACATCCTATCCAATACTAGATCAAGATCGAAACTATATCATCTAGATCTACACCAGCTTTGTAGTTACAGGCATAAATCTCAACAAGCAAAGACAAAAGTCTGAAAAGACTAACGACAAGCAAGAATTTCTAAAAGTCATCAAAAAGAAATCCAATCAAAGAGAAAGCTAAAAACTTTCATCAAACACAAAAACTAAAACTACAAACCACATTAAAGCTATCAACTTTATTTTCCCCAAAATTTCAATCAAAACATGTAAAACTACTTACATATTTCTTGCGGCCATAGCCTTCTTCACCGCCATAAGTGGGATTCCTATACCCTCCTTCCTCTTCCTGCGATCTCCCATAACTAGGTTTCCTCTCATACTCACTCCTCTCCTCTCCATACCCCTCACTGCCATAGCTCTGCTTCGTCCCATACCCGGACCCATATCCGGTCTCCGTCCTATCTCCATAACCCGACCCATATTCGTCCTCATTCTTTCGTCCATGTCCAGACCCACCTCCCTCATACTCTGCCTTCCGTCCATACCCAGTCCCGTATTCAGATTTGGACTCCCCATACCCGGGTTTCCTCCCATATTCGGATCCATATTCTCCATACTCTTGTTTTCTGCCATATTCAGTTCCGTACTCGGATTCCTGTTCTCCATACTCAGGTTTCCCGCCATATCCAGTTCCGTACTCAGATCCATGTTTCCCGTACTCGGGTTTCCTGCCATATCCAGTTCCGTACTCTGATCCGTGTTCCCCATACTCGGGTTTCCTGCCATATCCAGTTCCATAGTCGGATCCGTCTTCCCCATACTCGGGTCTCCGGCCATACCCAGATCCAAATTCAGGCGGCGGAGGCTGCTCAAATTCTGGTCTCCGTCCATAATCAGATCCGAATTCCGGTGGATGTGGCTGTTCGTATTCGGGTCTCCGGCCATACCCAGATCCAAACTCCGGAGGAGGCGGCCGCTCAAATTCAGGTTTTCGGCCATATCCAGATTCAAATTCCGATCCGGGTCGTTCAAACTCCGGCTTCCGTCCATAACCCGATTCGGATTGTCCATATTCAGGCCTCCCATAACCAGGCTCATCTTGAGCCCCATACCCACCAGGTCCACCACCATAAGCGGGTCCAGGTCCGGGTCGTCCAGGTCGGGGCTTAGGTCGGCCATAACTGCTGTATTCAGTTTGGAGAGACTCTTCGGCGTAAGCACAGAGCTCGGAACCGGAAGAGAAATGGGGACGGTCGTAATCAAAGTCTCCATCAGACGGTGTGGATGAAGGATAGCAAGTCTCCTCGGACGGTTCCAATGGGCGCCCGTAGGTTGATTCGAGATTGTATCCACCACCGTAAGGTGTCGGATCGAACTCGTCGAATTCGTCGACGTCATCTTCGCCTGGCCTCGAGTAGTACGGCATCGTTTCACTAGCGTTTTCGAAAGCAGAAAGTTTCTAATGAAAATGGAGAGGTGAGGGGAAGCGTTTTAATTGGAAGTTTGAGTTTAGGGTTTAGAAGATAAAACGATGACGTTTTGGATTAGAGGATAAGAACAACGACAGCGTTTGGAGGGGATAGGAGAAATAATTTTTTTTATGTGGGGGTCTTAGTCTAACTGTCAATGTCTTCGGATCGGCAAAGTGTAGAAATGTGGACCGTTGGATTAACCTTTGCCGACAACTTGAACCAGGATTTATGTTCACATCTCATTTTGGATTTGAGCTGAATAATTAAATGTGCCCTATCAATGGACTAAAAAATTGCTACCACATCTAAATTTATTGTTAAATAACAATTGCGTTTTTCATTAAAAAAAGAATTGCTATTGCTTCTGATTTTTAAAATTGAGTAAGAATAAGATTTATGTCCGCCATACTTACCAATTATTATTGCGTAAAAAAATTGAAAAAAAAAAAAAGACAATGAGATGAATATATGCTGTTGTTAAAATATTTGTATTTAAATTCGTTTAATTTTTATAATATTAAATTTTAATTTTAATTAATATTAAACAAAAATTATTTATTAAACAAATTAAGATATTAAATAATAAAAAAATTTTATCCAAAACTTTTTAAATTTATCATAAATAATAATTTATTATTTAAATTCATTAATTGTCATATATTTATTTATTTATTTTGCTTTTCAATCCAAACCTAAGCTACTAGAATAAAAAGAGATTTTTATCGCCACAAAAAAATTACTGATTTTTTTATTACTAATAATAAAAAAACACTTCAAGGAAAAATCAACAAAAAAATTCTCAGATATTTTAATGGTATAATTTCAAATAAACCTTGGAAATTTATTTCAAAATGCAAATAAACCCTTCGTCTTTTATTACATGAAATCAACCTTTTCCCATATATACACCTTAGAAGATTGAAGAAAGACATACCAGGGAATATTCAAGCATTCAAGAACAAAAAGATCAAAATCTTTGCAACTTCTTTGAGCTTCAACACTTATTTTTAATTGAAAATCTGTACTAAATTTTATTGGAGTAATCAGATCAAAGAATGATCATATACACAATTGTAAAAGCTTGTAGCTTTGTTTCAAAGTGTGAGGAACACTTATTTTTTGTTCATATTATTTCAAAACCAAAGGTGCTATTCACTCCTTTTTAGCACATTCTACATGGGACCAGCATTATCCCTATTTTAATTTATTTTAAATAACATAATAAATATTTAAAAATGTTCAGCAAAAAATTTAAATTATTTAAAATTTTGAAACATCAAATTACACTAATAACAAATATAGCTATCATTATAAAAAAATATGACGTTTTTATCAAATCTTCATATTTAAAACTCAATAATTAACCACTCAAAAAGAAAGCAAATCAAAGCATTTAAAATGATGTAAAACTTTTAAATTTTATTATTATTTAAAAAAAAAAAACCCATCAGATTATAGTATATATACAAATAAACTAAAAAATAATAAATAATTCTATTCTTATGGTTTATGAGCAATTTAAATTTTTAAATAACCATTTTCTCATTTTCAATTGAATCCAATATATAAACTTCTCATTTTCAATTGAATCCAATATATATTTAGTCAAGTCATAATCAACTGTATCATTTTAGGTCAATTTAGCTTACAATACAATATTTGAGAATTCTTATAATTTGGCTCCCAATCAATGCATAATCACCTAGCATGATGGTATCCAAATTAATCAACTATCTTTGGCATCTTATTGTAAAATCTCACAAATTAATATAATCTTATTGAGTAATCTCCTAAAATAAACAAAACTCATTAAGCCTATACTAATTAATACCTCGCAAAAAAAAAAAAAAGCAACATCACATTCAATATATATACATATATATATAATATCTAAGATTTACCTTTAAATTATAAATTAGAAAAAAAAATACTAAAATATATAATTGGTAAAATTGCTATTTTAAAAATAAAACCTAACAATTGCACAAACAAAAAAATATGAGTAAAATCTCAATAAACTTACAAAAAAAAAATAGCAAGCAAGATTACAAAATAAATTTTTTTTATAAGATAATAAAGATAAAATCGTAATAAAACAAAGTTAAAGAATAGTTAAATTTGATTTACTTAATATTTTAAAAACATTTGTATTTATGTTACTATCAAGAAATATTATCATAAATGTATTAAAAACTTACTATTATTAATCGTCTAATGTAATAAGTAATAAAATAAAAGAAATTAATGTAGTTTTCCTTCAAAATTATAAATTTTGAATTCTTGTCTAATCTGTTCTTTTTTTAAAAGAAAACAAAATCTTTCCTAATTTAATTATATCATTATTGTCAACTCATTAAATGGCTCATTTTTATTTCTTAATTTACTACATTAAATTTCATTTAATTTTTCATAAATAATAAGAAAATATGGAAATATATTTAAGAGTAATTAATTTTTTATTTAGTTTCTTTTTTTATTTGTATTATTGACCAAATTAATTGTAATTTATTTATTTAAGGTAAAAATATTGAATATTTAAAATGTAATAAATGCAATTAATTTAGTCTAACTAATTATTTTTTAAATAATAAAAATGTTACTATAAAAAATAACAAAAATGTTTTATATAAATAAAATGCATTTATTAGAGAACATATTGATATTTAAACCTATTTATATGTAAAAAATATTAGTTATCCATATTAGACTATTTTCTTTTTTATTAAAAACTTTAACTTTTATATATTTATATAAAATATAAAATAAATAAATTTGATATCTAATAAGTATAATTGCATCAATGATCCTAATTTCACATTTTCTATTGATTTTATAATGAAAGTTTTTTTTTTTTAAATCAAATGCACAATCTGAAAAATTAATTTTAATTCCTAAATTGTGCTTCAATTTCCTTTCTTATACTTTTCCATACAGCTGTTTATATTCCTTATAAACGGTAAGAAAGACAAGATAAGATTCTCTTTAACTTTATTCAAAGAAACAAGAAAAAAAGTTTGGACTCCTGACAAAAGCAAAAACATAATTCTAACATCCTAGATTTTTGCTGGTAATTTGATCGGATAATTTGTTTGTTTCGCATCAAACATATTCGAATTTAAAATATTATATTATAATTTAATAAATATAAATATAATTTTTTTATTTTTATTAATAATTTAAATTATATATTCATATTCTATTTTATATCATTGTATTGCGCTATGTAGTAAGCATGATACAATTCTTATAAGTTTAAACCCTCTGTTCATTTATTGCCTCTTCGCTGGATCCCATCACCCAATTTTTAACTGAAAATCACTAAGAGATAGTCAATACTTTGAGCAGACAGAGAGAAAGAGAGAGAAAAGAGAAGGGTTGATTTTGATTTGATCAATGTCGGCAAGGGTAATAACAGTGTCGCAAGACGGCAACGGAGACTACCGAACTGTACAGGAAGCCATAGACGCAGTTCCACTCTCCAACACTTGTCGAACTGTCATACGACTGTCACCTGGTATTTACAAGCAGCCCGTTTATGTTCCCAAGACTAAGAACCTCATCACCTTGGCTGGTCTCCGACCTGAGGTCACTGTTCTTACTTGGAACAATACCGCTACTAAAATTGAACATCACCAGGTAAAGTATGCATCTTTTTGTGCTACCTTATTTGGGTTTTGGCCTCGTGTAATGATGATGGTGTGGTTTTTCTGAAGGCTTCGAGGCTGATTGGGACAGGGACCTTTGGATGTGGGAGTGTGATAGTGGAAGGAGAGGATTTTATTGCCGAGAATGTCACTTTTGAAAACTCTTCTCCTGAGGTAAAGTTTTAAAATCCTCTCTTTTTTTTTTTAGCTTATTTTCTGGATTTTTTTCTGCACTTCAAGTTGTGATTGAAGTTTTGTTCTTGAGGTTTTGTGACTGAGTATCATCATCAAGATGTTCAGTTCTTGAATTTTTTTCTCAGTATATTTGCCTCTCAGATATGTGGGTATTGAATACAGCAGACCATCTATGATTGGAAGTTTACCTTCTGATTCACTGAATGATAGGATTTTTAGTATTTGGGGGTGTTTGCAGCTTCCACAGGAGGTTCTGGTCATTGTCAAAAAATGCAGATTTTTAGTTGCGTTCAAAATGCTTCGAAATTGCTGTTCCGGTTATTCCTATGTCATTAATCTTCTTTCTTACAGGGTTCGGGGCAAGCTGTTGCAATCAGGGTAACAGCAGACCGATGTGCATTCTATAATTGCAGATTTCTGGGGTGGCAGGTGCTTAACTCTCTCATTTTGGTTGGCCGAATGTAGTAGTGTTATTAAGCAGTATAGTGTAGCATTCTACCCTTTGTTTCAATGCAAATTGTAGACCTTTTGTTATTTTAAAAATCATTAAAAATCTATCTTTGCTGGCTGAACCTGTTAAATTTGATATTTTCAATTGACTGAAGAAACAGTCGGCAAAACTATATTTTTGTGTGCAGACAGTTTTGGCTACCTGCTAAGGTCTTTTGGGTAGTTCATGACAAATTTAGAGGTTTAGTTGTGTTCATAAAGTTGTACTTCAGCAAACATCTTACGGATTGTATAACCTTTGCAGGATACACTCTACTTGCATCATGGAAGACAGTACTTGAAGGATTGTTATATTGAAGGAAGCGTGGACTTCATTTTTGGAAATAGTACAGCTCTGTTAGAGCATTGTCATATCCACTGCAAGTCAGCTGGTTTTATAACTGCACAAAGCAGGAAAACCTCTCAGGAATCAACTGGTTATGTGTTTTTGAGGTCTGTAGTTGACTAGTTTTCTTGTGTCCTTCTCATTTCTACTATATGTTTTTTTTTTGTTAATTCCTCATTAAGGTTGTCTTTTATAAATTTCCTAAGTTTTGAGTTTTTTAAGGATTTTGATATGTAGAGTTCCTTCCAGGAAACTTAACCAATTTTGGGCTACTGCGATAAAATTTGTCATTGAAAGCTATTTTTATCAAGTTAAAAAGATAAAACGTCAAATAGTTTAAAAGATGGAGTTAACTTTCCAACAAAGTTCATATGTTTGAATCGGAATAAATGGTTTAATAGACACCACTTTGGCATTACATGAGCAGAGTCATTATCCGCTGGTTGGAATCAAATACTTTTTACCAATCCACTTTCTACTCTCCAGCTTGTGAGCAAAATTATTGTCTTGATGATCTATCTTGTATGTTGTTTCTGGGAATGTGGTGGTTGCTGTAATCCTTAACACTTTAGTTTGTTTGTCAAATAGTTGGTTAAGGTTAAGCGTCTCTCACTCGAAATTTTGATTATGCTACCAGTTAACTGCAGCCCTTTCTTTGTTGTCTTATGTTGCAATTGGTGTAACCATTTTTAGCCTATGGAATATACTTCTTAGAAAGCTAAACTGGCTATAAGTATCATATGCTGTTTATTTAGGGGGTGAACTAGGATTCATTCAACATAAAGCAAAAGTTATGCTGCATTGTCCCAGGTTGTTATTCCCAGTATTTCGAAGAAATAGAAAATGAAATTAAAAAAAAATATGGATTCCTTTTGACGTTTTCTGTTGAGTGAAATATAATGGTATTAATTTTCTTAATTTTCATCATTATCAATTGTATAAGGCACTGCGATAACTCATCACCTGTCTTCAAAAAGTTTTGCTGATCTGCTGTGACCAAGAAGCTTTGTCTGGGTTCCATAGTTATTCTTTTTCTTTTTACAATGTTTACTTCCGTTGTCATATGTCAGTTTTCCTTGTGAACCAGTTGTGGCATTAATGCAGGTGTGTCATAACTGGCAATGGAGGGTCTTCATATTCATATCTTGGGCGCCCATGGGGACCATTTGGAAGGGTGGTCTTTGCCTACACTTATATGGATCAGTGTATCAAACATGTAGGTTGGAATAATTGGGGAAAAGCTGAAAACGAGAGAAGTGCTTGCTTTTATGAGTACAGGTATCTTGTGTTCACTCTGCTCTATTCTCTCAGTTCTATTACTTTTAGATTTAGAAAGTTGCCAACTTCATGCCTATTATCATTTTTATCTCGAAAATTTGGGTATAGCCTAGAAGTGGTCTTAGTGAATTGTGACAATACCATATGCATGACAGAACTGATAGTTTATGTTTATTTGAAAGATTGACCCATAATTGGAATGATTCCTATTCACTTGGTTATGCAAGTAGGCACGCTGGAGCTTCGGTTTTATATAAAAAAATTGTCAAGCTTGTACAATTTCAACTCTCACCTGCCTGGTCTTGAAAATACCTTCTTTGAAGAGCTTTGCTGGATTTTAATAGTCATCTTTTAACTACCTCTTTTTTCTACTACTTTATGCCACACTACAATTAATTATCTTTCGTCCTTGATTGAAACTGCAGATGTTATGGCCCAGGCTGTTGTCAATCAAAACGGGTTACCTGGGCGAGGGAACTGCTGGATTCAGAAGCAGAACAATTCCTTATGCATGGATTCATTGACACCAATCCGAACAGACCTTGGCTTGCTCAAAGAATGGCCCTGAGAATACCATATTCAGCTTAGAAGTCAATATCGAAACTGGAATGACATGAGTTAAGAATCAGCAATCTGTAATGGTGTTGAACCATTTTATATACATACAATAAAATCTTCGTCGCAGACATTTCAAGCTTAGTGTCAAGGCAAAAGAAGCATTATGCAATATCATTGGAGATTTTAAGAAAAACGTTGGCTCATATGATTTGGGCAGTTTTACTAACGTTTTAATCATGTATTCATCATAGAGTTTGTTTTCATTTTTATCAAGTCCAGATTTGTCTGTTCATCCCTGCTTTCTAACCCTCCTTCCTGCCGCTATTGCCGGCAGATTTGGCGATTCACCCTTGCTGTCTCCATCTCTAATTCCCCTTCTCTTGCCCAGTCTCTTGCTTTATCCTATTCCTATTTACAGGTCTCTGCTGTTTGTGAAATGTTTCAAGGTAGTGCTCTCACACTTTAAGAGATATTCTCTGCCATAGGATATCATCCAAGGCCACAAAAGATCAGCCCAATGCTGTGGCCGATAAAAAAAAAAAAGATCAAACCAATTTTTTTTCCTTTAGTTCTTCTCAGCTTAAGAGCACCAATGCCAAAATAAGCTGGTCTTTTGAGATGACAAATTTATTTACAAATGAAATCTGTCAATGGTTTCAATGGTTGGAGGTAGTAGTAGACTTGATAATTTAAAATTTGATATGATAATAAAATACCAATATATGATATAAAAATAAAATATAAAAGTTATATAATTTTAAATTTTAATAATAAATATATATAAATTTAATAAAATAAAAATATTATTTTATATTTTTATATTTATATGAATTATGATATGTAATTTTTATATAAAATATTATATAAATATATAAATTTTAACATTTTATATTATATAAATATACAAATCCTCAAATTTAAATAAAAAAATGTTGGACGGGGAAGTTAAAACTAACATTTTGACTTTTGTTTCTCCTTTTGAGCAAACGTAAAAGTAACTTTCTTCAAAACCAAGCCTGTATTTAATCCAAAAACCTCTTGTTTCTGGGCACAAGACCAAAGCCCCAAGTAGATCCAAGCAACCATATGATTTGGCCAACCACGTGGCGATGTTCTGTTGCACTTTACCTCAGCACATTTGTTTTTCCCATTTTTCTACCACTCAGAAGGGTAATGTTTCAGAGTTGTCACCACGTGTAATTTCTAACAAAATGCCACATCAGATAAGGCAAATGCTTATCTTTCACTCTCCTAACTGTTGCCCTCCACAAGTTTGGCACTTTCCTCCCCTCTTCCATCACCACCAAAAAATATAAAGAGAATCTTGCTGTGTTTATTTTGCACTAGAATTTAGAAAAAGGAAATTAAATATGAGTGAAGTTGTAGCAGGTTTCTTTGCTCCATGCCAACAGAATTATTTTGTTTGTAGAGGTGAGAATTTTAGCAATGGAAAATGGCAAGTGAAGCTGAAGAAAGCAGAACTGCAATGCCATGCAATTTTCAAGTCAAAGCCAAAGCCAAAGAAATATTTGGTTAGCAATGAGTTAACAGTAAAGCCTGCCACTTACTCTGCAAGAATTTCCACTGATATTCCTCTTTATGAGACTCCTGGGTAACCCACTAACTCATTTCTTTCTCAACTGTTCTTTTTATGAAATGGGTGTTAAATATTGTTATTGGTGAATGTGGGGTTGAACAGGCTTTGTTTGATGAGTACTTGGATGATAAGCCCAGAATTTTCAATGCAATGTTTCCTGACAAACACAGAAGCCAACGGCTTAATCAGGTTTTCTTTTTTGCCCTCTTCCTTTACTTCTTTCATTATGGCTGTTGAGTAATTCTAGAAGCTCATTCTATGTTGAAACTTGAATGGTTTGCTAATTGATTTTATTTTTGATGGGTGTAAAAAGTGTTGCAATTAGTGCAAAAATGACATTTCTGGGTACAATGTCTCTGGTAGGCACCATATTTGAAAAGGAAAAAGAGTCCAAAAATGGGATTATTTTATTGAAAAGGAAAAACTGAATATATGACCTTCTGAATACAATTTCATGGCTATAGGATAAAGGGAAAAAAGTCCAATGTCCCTAAGTTAATGTTCTTCCATGAAATCCAACTTCCTTTACCTATAGATTTATCAATATTTTGGTGAAAGGCAAGCTTTTTTGATTGTGATCTGAAACAGCAAAGATGACAGTTTCCTTTTAAACATATAACTTCCAGTTGTGCTTATAGTTTACAGGATTGTCGCATAGGGGAATTTGTATTTCTTCAGTTTTCCTGTTCTGTAATGTTTTTGATCATGGTGGTCAGGAGGCATAAACATTAATGCAGTCAATTTGCTTTCAACTTTTACAAGCTATGTTTTGACAAAGTATGAAGAACTAATACTATTTTCTAATTACGGGGAAGGGCAGGAAGAAGACAGGAACTCATAACGAAGATAAATGAAGAAAATGCATAGATAACTTGAGTCACTTGATCTGTAATTTTTTGGTAATCATTGACATGATGTTCGACCATGCTCATCATGATTCTACTAAAAGTGTTTGATAACATTTTGCTTCTCAATTGATTAACAAGCAGTAAAATTTATTTGTTGGAGCTGAATTGCTTTTTAAACTAGGTAAAGGCTTGGAAGTAATTGGCTGATTGGATGATCTGATCTGTTTTTCACATGTAATTGTGATTGCTGAACTTATGCAGAATGAATGGAGAATTCAGATGTTGCCCCTGCAATTATTGGTCCTAAATGTCTGGCCGGTAGTAGACTTGAGGTTGAGATGCAAGTCAAGAGGTGGAGATTACCCACCGGAAGTTCCTCCTGATATCACAAAAGTTCTTGAGCTTGACATTGTAAGCAGCAAAAGAAAAACATGTGAATTAACAAAGCTTTGCACATTGCACACTATAAATATATATATTTATGTAATTCATTCCTCATATACTATCCAAAGCTCTCGACTTGCAGCCAAGATGGGAACTCCAAGGACTTGATAATGTTGTTGATCCATCTCATTTCACCCTGATTGTAAAAGGAACCTTATACCCTGATAGAAGAGGAAATAAAAGCCGGCTTAGGGGTCATTTAGAGATGAGCATAAGCTTTGTCCTTCCTCCTGCGCTTGCTTTGATTCCTGAAAATGTTCGTGACAGTCTTGGAAAAGGGGTAAGAACATATAAAATGCCTCATATACCATATTGCGCCCTTGATATCGCAGTTCCTCGATATAACTAACTATTTCGGAAGTTGTACTATTGACAGGTGATGACAAAATTGGTTGAGAACATGAAACAGAAAGTTGATGGTAGCTTGCTTGAAGATTATAGCAAATTCAAGAGGGAGAGATCTAATAAGCTTGTATAGGCCTGTCATCGCATCTTCACCAAACTCTAAAGTAAAGTAGTAAAACACTTTTGCATTGATACGCATTACCATTTGAAGATAACAACCCTGTATGCAGTGCTGGACAGAAAAATAAGAATGTCTAGCTTTCGACAAAGTGCTCTAAGAAAATTAGTACTTCTTGCTTAGGTTTACTGATTTAATATTCTTGGAACTTCTTAGAAGGTAGCCCAAATTCTTGAGATTGTAAGGATATTGATGTTGCAAAGTTGCAGTGCGTGAAATTTGTACGGGACAAAATCTATTGCTTGAATGCAGTGTGGACTTTTCTCTGTTTCTGCATTGTTTATTATGTTAGTAAAAGACAGAAAAGTAATTTGAATGGAGATGCGGGGGATCGAACCCCGTGCCTCTCGCATGCAAAGCGAGCGCTCTACCATTTGAGCTACATCCCCGTTTGTTCTTCGGATAGATGCTTGAAAGATAGTCTAAAAGCTAACTTTGGTAAGAGACTTCCAAAACAGAAATCTGTAAATTCAAACAAAATTTTTAATAATCATCCATTAAGTGACAATTCTAAATATGATACAACGAAATAATATGAAAAAAAAGATAAAATGACAGGTTTTAAATTTTAATAAAAATTATGTAAAATTTGAAGAAAAAACAAAATTATATTTATATTTAACATATTGATGCGAATTGTAATATGATGATTTTCGTATTTTATATATGTTAGATATGATATAAATAAATACAAATTCACAAATTACCAAATTTAATAGGTTGTCTTCATATGACAAGTAGATCCAAAGCCTTGTTAGCATGTTGCTTGAGGCATCATGTCAAACATAGTAAAACAAAGTTCATTGTCTTCGTCGATTTCCATTACAAAGGAAGATCCAGTAGAAAATGTAGACATCAAATATAAATTTCCACTTCACATCAAATGCTAAAACAATGAGAAGAATATATGCATTTTGCAATATTTATGACCAAGATTAAATGTTAGCCTAATACAGAATTTGATTCATTCAGTATCTGATTTTGCCGCAGTGATAGTCACCAGAAATCACAACAAGAACATGATCCTTGCTTGAAACAATGAAACCGGTTGCGATCTCTGACTACAATTTCCCGATAGTAGATCTTTGAAACAATTTTAAGAGCAGCATGACAGTCTTGGCATATACGTAAGTTCTTGAAGATATAAAGAGGCGTGCCAGGTTTTGTGCTTAGAAGTCCGAAACAGACTGCTAACTTCTCGCTGTGCGAAAACAGTGCCTGCTCCTTCTCCTCCAAATCCATTGCATCATCCTCAATACCATCAGAACCAGAAAAAACTTGTGAAGCCGGATTCGGAATGTAGCCAGCTGACCGCAATCTTCGAACCATATCATCTAACATGAGATAAATCTCCTGAGTTCTTGGATGTGACTTATCCCCTGCACTGAATTGATGAACATGGCCATCTACATGAATAGAACTCATTCCAGGAACCTTCCTAATTCCTTTAGTTGTAAGAACTTTCCGAAGGGAATTGGCTTTTTGTCGCTTACCTGCCAAAGCATACATATTGGAAAGCAGGATATGATATTCTGTGTTAAGAGGATTCATCTCAGTCAGCTTTTGCAGAACACGTTCAGCCAATTGTAGCTTTCCGTGCGAATTGCAGGAACCCAAAAGAGATCCCAAAACAACCTCATTTGGAGGTATTGGCATTTGATTTATCAAAGTTTGAGCGTCCTCCAGACGCCCAGCCCTTCCAAGTAGATCCACCATACAAGCATAGTGATCAATCTTTGGGGTTATACCATACAGCGATTCGAGATTATCAAAATAATAAGAACCCTGATCTATCAGACCAGAATGACTGCAAGCACTTAGAACAGCAATAAAGGTTAAATCATCTGGCTTGACTTCTTCAATCATCCTTGGGAACATATCCAACGCAACTCTACCTCTTCCATGCATAGCTAACCCACTGAGCATAGCATTCCATGACACCACATTCCTTCTTGGCATGCACTCGAAAACTTTAACTGCAGTATCAACCCTCCCACATTTCGCATACATATCTAGCGTGGCAGTTCCCACCATGATATCCATCTCCGTTCCCATCAACTTCAAACCATAAACGTGAACCCATCTACCCATCACCACATCTCCGGACTGTGCACAAGCTGATAATAAAGAACAAAGTGTGATATGGTTCAATTTAAACCCCCAATGAAACACCATCTCACTCAAAAGCAAAAAACCATCCTTACTAAATCCACTCCCCACACAACCCACAACCATTATAGTCCATGCAACTTCATTCCGCTCTGGCATCTCATCAAACAATAACCTTCCACTCCTTACGCCCTCCCACTTCAACACCCCATCCAAAACCACTGTCCATGACACCACATTCTTCTCCTTCATCTCATCAAAAACCCTTCTCATCTCCCTCACCATCCCACACTTCCCATACATATCCATCATTGCGTTAGACACTTTTACCTTCCCTTCGAAACCCATCTTGACCACACACCCATGGCCCTGACTCCCCACCCCAACATCCCGCAACCATGCACAAACACTAAACAAGCAAACCATCGGCACGTCATCAATTTGGATACTGTTTTCAAGCATTTGAGCAAACAAACGTAAAGCATCATGAGGCCTATTTTGGCGAGAAAAGGAGGACATCAGGGCAGTCCAGTCTGCAATATCCTTGCACGAGTGGGGAATTTCAACAAACAGTTTTTGGGCAGAGAGTATATCACCACACGAAGCATAGAAGTGGAGAAGAGTGTTCAGGAGGAAGGAGGTTTGGGTTGCTGAAAGGCCCGTAGTAAGAATTAAGGCATGGAGTTTTTTGCCAATGATGAGGGCAGATTGCTGAGCACATAAGCGAAGAAAGGGACGGAGGTAGCGAGGAGAGAAGGAAGGGAAGGCTTGGAGGATTGGCCATTTCATCTCAATTTTCCTAGCAACAATGAACAGAGATGGGCATAATATATTAAATTATTCTTCGTTGACCGAGCTGCAAAACAGGAAACAACCTAAAATTTTCAAACGTGAAGTGCAAAAGCAACACTATTTCATAAAAGTCGCCACATAGAATTGAAATGATGAATAATACAAAGTCTTAGCATTAATGAAGCATACATATATATATTGGCACTCAAAATGGGCAAAGCTCGCAAGGACAAAATAAAATTATGTCTCTTAGAAACACCCACAAACCCAGACAAAACCAAGAGTGGAAGATACAAATGGTGACTACTGACTATTTAGCAAGTTTGAAGTACAAAACAAGGGCTACAGAAACGATAAGGACTGCGATAATGATGCCAATAATCCATTTGTTCCTGCTCATCCTCCTTGACATAGCTGTCAAAATTCGCTTACTCTTGCCAATATTGTCATCTACACCATGCAGCTGCAATAGGAAGGAAACCACAACTGTAAATAGATAGCTGTAAAGGTTTACAATCAGCCACTATAGCTTAATGTGAGGAAACTTAAGGTTCAACTATCATAGAAGCCTTACGACACAGTGTGCTCATGTAACAGAAAGGTTTACAATTAGAGCTTAATATGAGAAAATTTGAGGTCTAACTACCATATAAGCCTTCCACATAGCATGTTCATGCAACAGAAAGGTTCATAATCAACCATTACAGCATAATGTGAGAAAATTTAAGGTCTAAGTATCATATAAGCGTTTGGCATAGCATGCTCATGCAATAGTCAGCTCAAAACAGGGAGGAAGAAGGAAAAGAATAATGCTTGATTATTACAAGGTGGCATGCTACTGCTTTTTGGTATGAATACTAACATCATAATCAAACAAAATATCCACCAATTAGGAGCTGTTAAGTGGAGTTTGAATGAAATTACAACTCAAATATGAGAAATAAAGCTAAAAAGAGCATACTACTTATGGTTGAGAATTGGAGGTTAAATGGGTTAGAAAACTTGGTGAAAAAAAGAGATACCGTGTTATTGGCATGTAAGAGAGACTGTCGCTGTGAATGTAAATCCTGAAGAATTGAAACACCAAGCTCTTCTGTTTCCAGCATGGTCCTTCTGCTGTCTTTAATTCTGTCACTGCTCTGATTCAACCGCTCCGTAGTCATCATCAGTCTTGATCTTTGATCAGCTGATGCCTATACATATTCATCAATTATAAGTAATCAAAGTTAAATATAAGGAAAGCAGACCAGTGATAGAACCACAACATGTTAAAGGAACATAGAAGAACCAAAACATACCGTGAGAGCATCAGCCATTCCAGACTCTAGCAACTCATCTCTAGCACCTGGATTTAAATTGCCAGATGCAATTCTTTTAACTTCACTTTTCAGATTGTTAAGATCTGATTTATATTCCCTTAACTTAGCAAGAAGCATGGCCTTAACACTTGGCTGCAAACTTCTTGCCTCAAGGTCCATTTTTCGAATCTGAGAAAAGAAAAGAGCAAAATCAAGTTCAATACCCAATAAAAGGAAGGACTAAAGAGGAGTATCCCAAACATGCAGTGAACTAGGCACCAGAGATTCTGCATCTTCCAATCCAGCTCGTATATCAGAAAGTTTTTGTTTCTTCTGTTCTGCAAATCAGAAACAACAATTAAGAATTTGAACGAAGAACAATTGGTTAATTATAGAGGCTGATGCTTGAACAAGTTAAAACCATTTCTCATCAACCACTCTAATGAATTAAAAAATGAATTTACAGCATTATTCTACAAAAGCAAACACATATTATTCAGATTCATACGTCTTGATGTTGTGTCTCCCAAACTCTAAACTGTCACTTTCCTTTACCAATTCAGTGATTCACACAGTAGATGCAAGGGCAATTACAAGCAAGTTATTTTTTTCTTAAAAAGGAGAAAATTAAAATATTAGTCCCCAAGTAGGAATACATTTAGTCTTTTTCCCCTTAAATGGGATACTCTAAGCCATATCAGCTAAATGCCATTGTTTACGAGGCCAAAACTTATCAAGTGACAGCTGAATTTAATTCTAACTTTTTCCTTTTCCCTTTTCTTCCTTCTTTTTTTTTTTTTTTTCATTTTGGAATCATATATCTTGATTGTGCGTCTACCAAACTATTTTCTATCACTTTCCTTTGCTGTTTCAGAGATTCACACGATACAAGCCAGTAATAAATTAATAATACATCCATGCAAAGATACGAAGTAAAGAAGAAAATCAAAGCCCTCTTAAAACTTCACAAGCGCACATCAAATTATGATACAGTTATAGATGTTAATTCCAAAACTTGGATTCATTCATATTAGTTTAGTACATTACTATGCAATTAAATAACTGCAAACTAATTCCAATAGCTACATAGATACCACATTATACTACAGAATTACTTTCCAAAATTCCCGTTTTATTGGTTAAAATTTGGGGTTTTTCAAATTCTTCTCTTAGATATAAGTCAAAGTTCCAAACTCAAGTGGCAAAAGTAATTTTTTTCCCCTAATCTACATCAATGCTTTAAGAATTCTACAAAGTAGTAAAAATAAATAAATACTTTGAGCTGAAAATACAGATTATGGAAATCATGATTATTAATTAAATTAGATTTAATTAAAATTTAAAAACCAAAGGAGAGATAAAGAAGATCGGATCTTCTTTTCTTCTTCTACATATCTCCCAATTAAGCAATCTAAATTTTTTTAATAAAAAATCAAATCCTAATTTCTATTTTTTTTTCTGTTCATGAAATCCTAATTTCTAATCAGCAAAAAAGAGATAAGAAACAGATTATTCCATCACGCATCCATAATTAGGTGCAAGAAAATAAAGAAATGAACCAAAAAATTAAAAAAAAAAAAAGAAAGAGAATTTTTAATATAAAGATTTGAATTATAACCTCCGACAAGAGCAACGGCAGCCGTACACTTCTTGGAAAGATTCGCCGATAGCTCGCAATACTGCCGTTCATATCCTTCGAAAACTTCACTCATCTTTTAATTTCTTCTTCCAAAATTAATTCTCTTTAAAATAAACTGAAAATCAGGAAATTAAAATCAGCTAAAATTTTGATCCAAAATAAAAGAGAGAGAGAGAGAAACCTGGGATGCCGATGATCGTGGCTCCTTTCCTGTTAAGAAAAAGACGACCAAACGACAGCGCTTTTGGTTTTTTATTGTGCAAGTGGTGGTCTTATGGGAGTTCGTTTCTACTTTTCTATACAGCTATTGGTATGATTAATTTCATTGTGTTCACTCTAATTTGCGAGGTGTTTATTCCACATGGGCATCGTTATTGTAGCCAATTTAATTAGCCAATCAATTTATGCCACGTATTTGCGCTAGTATGAAACAATAGTTTCGCTTTTTATTTTATATTTATTTATGACTATAAAATCATGTCAACATAAAATCATTAGAAGTGATTTCATTTAGTATTTAAAATATTTTTGTACACTGCTTATTATCATGCATGAAACAAGATTGGTCACCTGGCTATTGTTAAGAATTTTTTTTTTTTTTTTTTGTGTTTAATGCATTTCTTTTACCTGGTATAGTGTACAATTTGATTATTAAAATATGTTAATTGCATATGAAATTTTTTTACGAAATGAAGATTGAAATTATCAGATAGTGAAAGAGATTGCAGAAGTTAAAACATGAATCCAAAACTTGTTAAATATTATTTTTTAAAAATATTTATATGAATAAATTAAATTAAAATTCGGAGTTTAATTGCATACAAATTCCATAATTCTATAGAACATTCTATTTATAATGCTAATAGAAAGAAAGTTGGTAAAAGGATAACAGCCACATTTTTGTCATGAAAATGTAAAAGGATGAATCATTTGCAAGATGTAAAAAGTTTGAAAAACACTTCACTTCTTCCTACTCAGCAAGAAGTTTCCAAAATTGCAGATGAACTAAGACACTGTAACATCATGAGTATAAGTATACAGAGGAATTGGTTTCTGGTAAAGAGATTTTATGTGCCAATACAAAAATTATGCAAAAGATTTTACTCAGATCCCTTGGTAGAACAAATGGACTCCACACACTTTCCAACAACACTCCTTGAAAATTCTCAGGGAGTGGAAAAATGAAGCTGCTCTCCTGCCAAGACAAGATTCCAGAACCAAACTATGAAACTTCAATTCTTATGTCAACTTCCCTTTCGACGGCTTCAATTCTGGATTATGAGGTTTTGCAGTGGTGAACATGTATGGTGCAGGTTATGAATGCCATTTACATCATCTGGGATTTTCCAATCACAAATGCAGTCTTCATGTTGTGGTTTCATTCGATGAAACAAGCACTGCCCCATCAGTCACAGGAACTCCTGCTGTCTTTTTGTGTTTTGCTTGCATCTTTTCCAATTCTTGTTCTGAGAACACTTCAGATTGCAAAGATGGGACTATATTCTTTACATGCAGCCATGTCAATTGCCAAAAGCTATCTCCACCAATATCATCACTAGGCATGAGAATACCTGTTGTTTTCATCACCAGCAGGGTGTTCTTGAGAAGCTCTGGGACTAATTCATGAATTTTTTCACTATGCTTTCCTCGGAACTTAACCTTCATATATCTTTCCATACGATTCAGAACCCCTAGCCATAGTTTGCAGAAGGATGATTGCTGTGACAGATCCTGTAGTGACTGTAAGAAAGCTTTTGACATTAGTTTTGTGGCTAAAACAAGTGTACCCTCCATTTTCCGAAATTCTTTAGAGGAGCTCTTCTGCGCAATTTCTAGCAAATCATCCATTAACGTAAAAATCACAAGATCAAAACACTGGAACCACATAGCATTTGGAACGTGAATTCCATCTACCCCTGCCAAAGAACTCTGTAACAGTAAAATAGCATGGTTCCTCACCTCTTCCCTCTGGTCCAAACATACTGCCCTCAGCCCCTGCAACAACCTCAGCCACATCTCTCCAATGTCCTGACTTACTTTCATAGCAGCCTCCTCCACAGCATTCTTGGTCTCATAAGACCATCTTACTAGACAAACAACTGAACCTGCCATCAAGTCTAGGGCAGAAATGGACCTATCAACCTCTCCAACCCGGGACTCAGCAAACTCCCTTGCTGCATCCACACAAAGAACATAATTAGATGGCAAAAGATGTGCCCCCTCAGACATGATGAATTCTAGTGCCTGGAATCCAAATTCAGATGCTTCTGGATGTCGAGCAGTGATAAATAGCAAGGAGATGATTATGCGCCAACCCAAATGGGATCTGATGTGAGTTGCATTTGCTTTTACAAGACGCATGACTTCTTGTGTGATAGGTTCGCAATATGCATCAGCTACCCGAGCATCAAGTTTCAATATTAGTTGCATTGACTTCAGAAGCTCATCAGTTAGATTTTCCTTGTAAGGAAGCAAGCGCTGGCATATCTTAAGGAGCCCAAACACGGCTTTTTCCACTAGAGTGCAAGGCATTGCCTTCTGCTGAACAATATCTGATATGTGCTTGTAAACATTTTGCCAGATAATCAAAATCCTATCCCGGTTATTTAGTGTAATAGCAATCAGCAACTCCAGGCAGAACACTGCAGTATCTTCATCTTCCACAATGCCACTTGCCTTGCTGAATCGACCTGCAGCCACGATAATGGCCCCAACAAGCTGCAATAAAGACTCAGCTTGAAGAAACTTACTCTCCATGAATATATTATGAATGTGGCATTTCTGCACTATCTCACGAAGGCTCTGTTGTGCAGCAAGCTGTTCATCGGTAGGCTGCAACCTTGGCTCCTCCATATCAAAGGATAGGAGTTGACTGAATCGACCAATCAGGCTGGAGGATTTCCAGGGAATTGCCACAGGTGCAGTCTGTGATGTTGATAAGGAACTTGTAGCAGGCTTACCCCGCTCGTGGTCAGACAAGGACTCCATTTCATCAGCTGCATCACTAGCTACGGCAGGCAGAAGGCCAAGTTTGTGCAAGCTTAAAACACAGTCCAATATGTTTCTCCAGCCGCTGTGGATATAATCACCATAGCTATTTGCAATCGTGAAAACTGTTGTAGTTGCCATCCTGGCTCTGGCATCATCTCCAAAGGAAACAATGAACTCTTCAACAGAAAACGGAGTCAAGAGGGTTGTGAATTTACAAAGAGACACAATCAAATCATCCAATACATCGCCAAAGTGATAGTGTGCTGAAATTTTGGCAATGGCCAAAAATCCATCAATGCATGTTTGTAAAACATCTTCTTGTTCCACTTGATCAAAAACCACTGATATAGCAGCAATTGTTGGGCCAGAGAGGATAGCAAACATATCATGGTCCAAGAGTGCTCTAGAATCACAGGCAATGAAAGGAGTGCTTTCTTTGGATTTGTGCATCACATTAATCCAGCGGCTTGAAGTCATCATTGGGAAACCAGCACCTTGATCTGGGATCATCTGAATTTCATTCTCACAGATAGAGTGGTAAAGCTCAGACAAGTAGTCTCGAGGAAGATCTTCCCCCCCATTGATTTGTCGATTATTACGAATAAAATCTTCTTTGGTCATCTTTTTCTTAACCTGTACATTGTGTTGATCGGTATTAAGCAGTATAAGTGAATACGACAACAAGAGGGCAGCATCTTTATTACACAATATATATGGTGATTGCTCATAATATCTTTCAGCAAATGCCTCAAGCACTCTCTGTATCTTCTGTGATTCTCCAGGTAATCTGAAAGTTCCCAAGAAAACACGCAATGCTGAATCTAAATTCATGTCACGAAAATCAAAGGTCCTAGCAAATTCATGCAGCACCTGAACACAAAATTCATCATGATTTCCTAGAAAATCTCCAATAACATTCTTATCTAACCCAGTTGTGTACCTAAAGAATGATGCTACACTTTCTGGGCCAAGCTTATCTGGTAATAGATGGATTTCTTGGAGAAATTCTAGACCTTTCTTGGGATCTCGATTAAAATGGTCAGCTCCAATTGTCAACTTTCTCTTGATGTACTTCATCTTTCGGACAAAAGGAATCCAAGAATTAGGATCACTGTAATTCTGACATTTCAAAGTCCAGAAAGCTTCATATCCCTCACGATCTGTTGAAGCCTCATCTGAAACAGGCAATTCATTGTTAATTCTCTCAGCCATACCCTTTATCATAGATACCAGACCATCCAGAGCAAGAATATGCATTGCAGACAAAGGTCCATTCACAGGAAATGCATTCTTTGACAGCAGGTTGGCAATTTCTTCAAAAACATTACTGCAGGTTATGTCACAATCAAAATTGGCATACATCTCAGCCACAAATGTCTGCTGCCTGCAAAGGTCAACCAAAGCTTCCATAGCAACCTCCTGCTGTTGGTATGAAGACCCATGCTTGCTTTGTGCAAGCTTCAAAAGCACACATGAAAAGAAAGCTTCAAGCTGCACTTTTAGTTCAGTGCGCAAATGATAATAAAGATTGAGAATAATGCTACATATAGTAGAAAGAATAAGTGGACTCATGGATAAGCCAAATTGCATCAGGTTACGAAACAATTCATCCTGAATTAAAGCCAATAACTTGGGATGCTTGCTGAATGATGGCCCACCCAATTCTATAGCTGAATTAATTAAACCCAAAGCAAAGAGGGGAACATCTTCATCATATGCAATGGGATTTGATTTAGAGCCAATACCAATGTTTTCAATGACATTTAACAAAGAACATAAAAACTGAAATATCTCCAGCATGCATGGGATCCCAAAAGGTGCCATCATCATTATTTCACCATGTTGAGCATCCTCCTTCCTGTCACTTTCTCCAATATTGCCTGTGTCCATTTCAGTAGCTGAATTCACAATGGGAGGACTAGAAGCATCACTAATGGAGGATGGACCAACACCATCAACGCCCACATTTCCATTTTCTAGCTGTATACTCCCAAGCATGTGATTCCCATTCTGTGTACCCACCTTCAGAAGAAAAATGAATTTCATAAATTAGAAGGAAACAAATGAGTTTATATATTAAACCAAGTAAGAACAGAACCACAACTTATATATTCAACGCTAAAATTTCAAATTACCACTCCCAAAGCAGATAATGAGCTTCTGTCAGCCATTTCATTTTCTGTGCAGCTGATCTCAGGAAGATGAGAGAATATACACCTAACTAATTCATGCATTGTATGGCGAGCTATCCGCTGCAACAGTTCACCTTTGGAGCTTGCTTGATGAACAATACGAAAGCATGTATTTGCTATCATGCATACATGCTTATTACTCAACCTA